ATAATTGTTATGTCTTCTTACTGTATCAAAATTTTTATCAATATATATTGTACTTCTTTGTCTCTTGTAACCTTTTTTTATTTAAAGTCTATTTTGTTGCCCTGGTTGGTTTGGCTCAGTGGTTAAAGCATTGGCCTGCGGTCCAGAGAGACCCAGGTTCGGTTCCCGCTAAGGGCACATACCTTGGTTGCAGTTTGTCCCCGGCCATGGTTGGGTCGTGTGGGTGTCAACCACTTGACGTGTCTCTTTCACGTCGATGTTTCTCTCTCTCTCTTTCTCCCTCCCACTCTATCTGAGCAAAATATGGAAAAATGTCCTCAGGTGAGGATTAAATAAATAAATAAATAAAGTCTATTTTGGTGAATAATAATATAGCCACCTCAGCTCTCTTTTGGCCATTACTTCCATAGATTATATTTGTCCATTGTTTTATTTATTTATTTATTTTTAAAAAATATGTTTTTGTTGATTTTTTATTTTAGAGAGAGATAGAAACATCAAGGTGAGAGAGAAACATCTATCAGATGCCTCTTCCATGCTCCCTACTGGGGATTGAGCCCACAACCTGGGCATGTGCCCTGACCAGGAATTGAACCTGGACCTCTCAGTGCATGGGACATGCTCAATCCACTGAGCCACACTGCTGGACACTATTGTTTTATTTTCAACCTCTTTGTGTTCTTTTATCTAAAGTAAGTCTCTTTCTTGCTCAGTGTGGCTCAGTGGATTGAGTGTCACCCCATAGACTGAGAGGTCCCTGTTTGATTCTGGTCAGGGCACATGCCCAGGATGTGGACTTGATCACCAGTTGGAGGTGTGCAGGAAGTAGCCAACTGATGTTTCTCACATCAATGTTTCTTTCGTGCTCTCCCTCTCTCTCTCTCTAAAAAATCGATAAAAACATATAAAATAAATTACTAAAGTAAGTCTCTTGTAGACAGCATACAGATGAATATTGTTTTTTTTTATAAATCCAATATGCCAACTTCTGCCTTTTAATAGGGTTGTTTAGTCCATCACAATAATGTGATTACTGATAAAAGATTTACTTTTATCACTTATCTGTTTTCTGTATGTCTTATATTTTTCCCCCTCAATTCCTCCATTACTGCCATTTCTTTTTTAGCTCTTTATTTGTTAGTATTCTTGAAGACTGCAGTTTAAAGAAAAATATATAGATGTGGCATTGGTTAATAAAAGTATGTAGGTTTCAAGTGTACAATTCTATAATACATCATCTGTATATTGCATTGTGTGCCCTCCACCCAAAGTCAAATCTCCTTCCATCACCATATATTTGCCCCCTTTACCCTTTACTGCCCCCACTTCCTTTCTCTCTGGAAACCACCATGCTGTTGTCTGTGTCCATGAGTTTTTGTTTGTTTTCTTGTCTTGTTTGTTGTTTTTTGTTTTTTTAGAGACTTTTTCTTTCTTTATTGATTTGAGAGAGAGAGGAAGAGAGAGGGAGAGAGAGATAGAAACATCCATGAGAGAGAACATCGATTGACTGCCTCCTGCATGCCCCCCACTGGGGATTTATCCCACAATCTGGGCTTGTGCCTTGACCGGGAATCAAACTGGTGACCTCTTGCTGCATGGGTCGATGCTCAACCAGTGAGCCACACCGACCAAGCTGTTGCTTTGAGTTTTATATCCCACATATGAATGAGTAAAATCATATGGTGCTTAACTTTTCCCATCTGACTTATTTCGGTTAGCATGATATCCTTATGACCTACCCATGTGGTCACAAGTGGCAGTATTTAATCTTTTCTAATGGCTGAGTAGTATTCCACAGTATATATGTACCACATCTTCTTTATCCAATCCTCTATTCCAGGACACTTCGATTGTTTCCATGTCTTGGTCACTGTGAATAATGTTGCAATATACATAGGGGTACATATATCTTTCTGAATAGATGTTTTCAAAGATTTTTGGTAGATACCCAGAAGAGAGATTGCTGGGTTATATGGTAATGCTAATCTTAATTTTTTGAGGACCTTCATCCGGTTTTCCATAGAGGCTGTACCAGTTTACATTCCCATCAGCAGTGAATGAGGGTTCCTTTTTCTCCACATCCTCTCCAATACTTCGTGTACTCGTCTTCTTAATAACAGCCATTCTAACAGGTGTGAGGTGGTATCTCATTGTAGTTTTGATTTGCATTTCCCTAATAGCCAGTGAAGTTGAGCATGTTTTCATATACCTGTTGGCCATTTGTATTTCTTCTTGGGAAAAGCGTCTGTGTAGGTCCTCTGCCCACTTTTTAATTGAATCGTTTTTGTTGTTGTTGTTGAATTGTATGAGTTCTTTCTATATTTATGGAAGATGTTTGAAAATATCTTCTCCCATTCAATCAGTTGACTTTCTTTGAGTGAGTGCATATATATTGATAACTGTTATGTCTTCTTAGCGTATTGTCTCCTTTGTCATTATAAAATGCCCATCTTTGTCTCGTTACCTTTTTAACTTGAAATCTATTTTGTCAGATGTAAGTACGGCTATAGCTTCTTTCCTCTGGATGCCGTTTGCTTGGAGAACCATTTTCCACCCTCTCTTTTTGAGTCTATATTTGTCCTCACAGGTGAGATGTGTCTCCTGAAGCCAGCGGATGGATGGGTTCATTTATTTGTTATTCAGTCTGCTACTCTCTGTCTTTTAATTGCTGAGTTCAGTCCCTTTACATTTAAGGTGATGTATGAGGATTTCCTATAGCCGTTATATCTTTTCTTTCTTGGTAATTCTGTCTCCATTGTTTCTTTTCCCTTGTGTTTCTATCTGTTGTTTTAGTTTCTTGTTATTCTATGGGTTTTTTCCCCTCTGGTCCTTCTTTTTTAATGTTGTGTGCCTCAGTTCTCTTTCTGTGTGTGTGTGTGTGTGTGTGTGTGTGTGTGTGTCCTGACCAGGAATCAAACCTGTGACCTCTTGTGCATGGGTCAATGCTCAATCACTGAGCCACACCAGGACTTCTCTCTCTTTTTTATTTTTGTTTTTATTATTTAAAAAAATTTTTTTCCTTTATTGATTTTAGAGAGGGAGGAAGGGAGAGAGAGAAACATTGATGTGAGAGAGATACATCAATCTCTCCCATACATGCCCAGACCAGATATCAAACCTGGAACCTAGGTATGTGCCCTGACCAGAAATAGAACCCACAATTGTCTCGTGCAAAGGATGATGCTCCGACCAACTCAGTGATACCAGCCAGGGATTCTTCTCTCTTTTCAAATGTTTTTACCTCCTTTAACCTTTAGGCTATATTTAAGTATATAATACTCTATTCTGAATAAGAATTGCAATTTCCTGCTTCTGTTTTGTATCCTTTTGCCTTTTAGTTTTAGGTAGGATAACACCCTTCAGTATTTCCTGTAATGCAGGTCTAGGGGTGGTGAATTTCCTCAACTTCTGTATGTGAAAAAACTCTATTTCTCCTTCATATCTAAAGGATAATTTTGCTGGATATATTATCCTTGGCTGGCCATTTCTCTCTTTCAGTGGTTTAAATCTTTGATTCAACTCTCTCCTAGCTTGTAGGGTTTCTGCTGATATTCTAATGGGCTTTCCTTTACAGGTTACTGTCATCTTTTCCCTGGCTGCCTTGAGAATTCTTTCTTTGTCATTAATATTTGGCAGTTTTAATACAATGTGCCTTGGAGAAGGCCTTTTTTGGACTGATATAACTAGGTGTTCTGTTTGCTTCTTATACTTGAGGATCCAGCTTTTTCCATAAAAAGTTCTTGTCAACTACTCGTTTAGATAGGGTTTCTATTCCTTTCTCTCTCTTCTCCTTCTGGTAAACCCATTATTCTTATGTTGCTTTTTCTGATGGAGGCAAATAGTTCTTTCATTTATTTATTTCTCCTCTCAAGTCTCTCTCTCCTTCCCTCTTTGCATCATTTCTAGATTTCTATCTTTGATATCACCAATTCTTTTCTTTATCTGGTCCACTCTGTTTCCTAAGCTGGTGAGTTCATTGTTTATTTCTTTTATTGAATTCTTCAGTTCCAGAATTTCTTTCTTTTTTTTTTTTTAAGGTTTCAGTCTCTTTTGTAAAGTATTTCTTTTGTTTGTTGATTTTACTTCTGAGTTTGGTAAACTGCCTATGTGATTTCTTGTATCTTGTTGAGTTTTCTCAGAAGGCAATCCTGAATTCTGTGTCCTTCAAACCACAGAGTTCCATGCCTTTACGTGTGTTTCCTGGAGATTTTTTATTTTCTTGCTCAGCTGCCTTGGTTTCCATGGTATTTGATGGGCTCTCTCTCTGCCTAGGCACTTATAGGAATAAAATCTGCTTTTAAAAAAGAGTGTCACTTCTCTATTTAGTCGTTTGGTGAGAAGAGGCCTTTCTTTTGGTTTCCAGTAGGTGACACAAAGCACGAGCTTAGTTTCTCCTCCACTGCTCTGGCTGCCCGGGTCGTGGCAGGGCGGTGAGAAATGCCTGGGTTCCCTGGGGAGACAGCATCTTCTCTGTGACCAGGTCACCTACTCTCAGAGTGCAACTCCCCTGGGGGAATGTGACGAGGTGGGATTCAGAGCCCATAAAATCCCAGCACTGTCTCTGCAACGACGCTGCCTGCTGCCGGCAGGGCTGCCCGGAGGGGGAGTGTCCTCCTCCCCTGGGCTCAGCCATGGGGGGTCCAGGTGGGGTGACCTGGGAGAGGCTGGCTTGTGCATTTGGGACTCCTCCCCTCCCAGCAATGGTGACCAGACCTTCATGCCCCGCCTCTGTCTCCACCCTGGCGCTGGGATTAGCGGCCCCCTGTGCCTGCCACTCGAGGAGAAACACTTGTCTTTCCAGTTCTCAGGGCTGAGAGCGCGCGCTCTGTCCCAACACCCTCTGCTGCCGGCTCTGGGAGGGTGAGGGCAGGTGGCCAGCCCCATGGCTTTGCTTACCTGCCTGGGATGGCAGCCCGGAGGCAGCCACAGCCACACCTCTGCCCACTCCTGCCCCGGACACTGGGGGCAGCTGCAGTGTGCTGAGCACTCCGGCAGGGGCGCTACTCTGCTCCGCTGGCTGCTGGGCACTCGGGCAGGGCGCTCTCCCTGCTCCGCAGGCTGCTGGGCACTCGGGCAGGGGCGCTACTCTGCTCCGCTGGCTGCTGGGCACTCGGGCAGGGCGCTCCCTGCTCCGCTGGCTGCTGGGCACTCGGGCAGGGCGCTCCCTGCTCCGCAGGGCCTGCTAGGCACTCGGGCAGGGCGCTCTCCCTGCTCCGCAGGCCTGCTGGGCACTCGGGCAGGGCGCTCTCCCTGCTCCGCTGGCTGCTGGGCACTCGGGCAGGGCGCTCTCCCTGCTCCGCAGGCTGCTGGGCACTCGGGCAGGGCGCTCCCTGCTCCGCTGGCTGCTGGGCACTCGGGCAGGGCGCTCTCCCTGCTCCGCAGGCTGCTGGGCACTCGGGCAGGGGCGCTCTCCCTGCTCCGCTGGCTGCTGGGCACTCGGGCAGGGCGCTCTCCCTGCTCCGCAGGCTGCTGGGCACTCGGGCAGGGCGCTCTCCCTGCTCCGCAGGCTGCTGGGCACTCGGGCAGGGCGCTCTCCCTGCTCCGCAGGCTGCTGGGCACTCGGGCAGGGCGCTCTCCCTGCTCCGCTGGCTGCTGGGCACTCGGGCAGGGCGCTCTCCCTGCTCCGCTGGCTGCTGGGCACTCGGGCAGGGCGCTCTCCCTGCTCCGCAGGCTGCTGGGCACTCGGGCAGGGGCGCTCTCCCTGCTCCGCAGGCTGCTGGGCACTCGGGCAGGGCGCTCCCTGCTCCGCTGGCTGCTGGGCACTCGGGCAGGGCGCTCTCCCTGCTCGCAGGCTGCTGGGCACTCGGGCAGGGCGCTCTCCCTGCTCCGCAGGCTGCTGGGCACTCGGGCAGGGGCGCTCTCCCTGCTCCGCAGGCTGCTGGGCACTCGGGCAGGGCGCTCTCCTGCTCCGCAAGGCTGCTGGCACTCGGGCAGGGGCGCTCTCCCTGCTCCGCAGGCTGCTGGGCACTCGGGCAGGGCGCTCTCCCTGCTCCGCAGGCTGCTGGGCACTCGGGCAGGGGCGCTCTCCCTGCTCCGCAGGCTGCTGGGCACTCGGGCAGGGGCGCTCTCCCTGCTCCGCAGGCTGCTGGGCACTCGGGCAGGGCGCTCCCTGCTCCGCTGGCTGCTGGGCACTCGGGCAGGGCGCTCTCCCTGCTCCGCAGGCTGCTGGGCACTCGGGCAGGGCGCTCCCTGCTCCGCTGGCTGCTGGGCACTCGGGCAGGGCGCTCTCCCTGCTCCGCAGGCTGCTGGGCACTCGGCAGGGCGCTCCCTGCTCCGCTGGCTGCTGGGCACTCGGGCAGGGCGCTCTCCCTGCTCCGCTGGCTGCTGGGCACTCGGGCAGGGCGCTCTCCCTGCTCCGCTGGCTGCTGGGCACTCGGGCAGGGCGCTCTCCCTGCTCCGCTGGCTGCTGGGCACTCGGGCAGGGCGCTCCCTGCTCCGCTGGCTGCTGGGCACTCGGGCAGGGCGCTCTCCCTGCTCCGCAGGCTGCTGGGCACTCGGGCAGGGGCGCTCTCCCTGCTCCGCAGGCTGCTGGGCACGCGGGCAGGGCGCTCCCGGCTCCGCTGGCTGCTGGGCACTCGGGCAGGGCGCTCTCCCTGCTCCGCAGGCTGCTGGGCACTCGGGCAGGGGCGCTCTCCCTGCTCCGCAGGCTGCTGGGCACTCGGGCAGGGCGCTCTCCCTGCTCCGCAGGCTGCTGGGCACTCGGGCAGGGCGCTCCCTGCTCCGCTGGCTGCTGGGCACTCGGGCAGGGCGCTCTCCCTGCTCCGCTGGCTGCTGGGCACTCGGGCAGGGCGCTCTCCCTGCTCCGCAGGCTGCTGGGCACTCGGGCAGGGCGCTCCCTGCTCCGCTGGCTGCTGGGCACTCGGGCAGGGCGCTCTCCCTGCTCCGCTGGCTGCTGGGCACTCGGGCAGGGCGCTCTCCCTGCTCCGCTGGCTGCTGGGCACTCGGGCAGGGGCGCTCTCCCTGCTCCGCAGGCTGCTGGGCACTCGGGCAGGGCGCTCCCTGCTCCGCTGGCTGCTGGGCACTCGGGCAGGGCGCTCTCCCTGCTCCGCAGGCTGCTGGGCACTCGGGCAGGGCGCTCCCGGCTCCGCAGGGCCTCAGAGACTGTGCTGCAAGCTGACTCCTCCCCTCGCCTGAGACCCGCAGCGAGCTCCTTTCTCCCTCCGCTCCTCCCCTGTTCACTCCGGTTCACCCATCTTTAGGTGTTTCAGTGTGTGGATCTCGAGACGTGTTTGTGTGTTGAACATGGAATCCTTTGTTGAATTATAGACGTTCAACTTGGTATAACTTCAGGAGGAGAGACCAGGGAGGGAGACCTCTCAAGCCACCCTGCTTCTGACAAGACCCATCACTGACCTTTCTCTATTTACTTGATTAATTGCTTCAATTTCCTTTCTTTCCTTTTCTGTATTTTCAAGTTATTTTTTTTTTGTATTGGTTACCTTGGGGGTTACAATGAACATCTTAGATTTATGACAAATTGTTTGAAAAATACGAACTTAGTGTGAGTGGTTTTCAAACACTGTTCCTATCCCTCTGTCCCCTCCTATTACATTGTTACACATTTTATGCCCAGTAGCATAGATTTCTAATCATTGCTTTGTGCATTGGCCCATTGAATCATCCAGGGAAAAAGAGGAGTTACAAACTACAGTACACAAAAAGTACAATAATAAAACTTTTATATTTATCTATGTAGTTACCTTTACCAGTGTTCCTTATTTTTTCTTTCTTTTTTTTTTTTTATCCTCACTCGAGGACATTTTTTGCATTTATCTTCAGATAGAGCAGGAGGGAGAGAGGAGGAAAGAGAGAGAGAAACATCGACATGAAAGGGACACATCGAGTGGTTGCCACCCACACAACCCCAACTAGGGCTGGGGACAAACTGCAACCAAGGTACGTGCCCTTAGCAGGAACCGAAGCCGGGCCTCTCTGGTCTGCGGGCTGACGCTCTAACCTCTGAGCAAAACTGGCCGGGGCTCTTATTTTTTCTTATGTCTTCAGGTTACTGTCCAGTGTACTTTGATTTCAGCATGAAGGACTCCTTTTGGCATTTCTTGTAGGGCAGGTCTAAGATAATGAACACCCTCAGCTTTGGCTGTCTGGAAATGTCTTCATTTCATCTCCATTAAATATATATATATATATAAAATCTTTATTGTTGAAAGTATTACAGATGTCCCTCCTTTTTTCCCCTTTGACACCCTCCTCCCCACACCCAGCCCCTCCTGCCTTTCCCACCCTATTGTCTCTGTCCATTGGTTGTGCATATGTGCATATAAGTTCTTTGGTTTGTCTCTTCCCACCTGCACCCTCCTTCCCTCTGAGGCTCGTCAGTCTGTTCCCTGCTTCCATGACTCTGGATCTGTTTTGTTCGTTAGATTCCACAAATAAGTGAGATCATGAGATCTTTCTCTGACTGGATTATTTCACTTAGCATAACACCCTCCAGGTCCCTCCATGTTTCCTTCATTTTTGAAAACTAGTTTGTTTGTGTGTTTTTTTTTTTTGTTCAGGTAGAGTGGGAGGAAGAGAGAGAGAAACCTCGACATGAAAGGGACACATTGAGTGGCTGCCACCCACACGACCATCCAGGGCCAGGGACAAACTGCAGCCAAGGTACGTGCCCTTAGCGGGAACCGAACCCGGGTCTCTCTGGACCGCAGACCGACACTCTAACCGCTGAGCCAAACCAGCCAGGGCTGAAAACTAGTTTTGATGGATACACCATTCTTGGTTGACAGGGTGTTTTGTTTGTTTGTTTGTTTGTTTTAGGACTTTAAATATCTCATCCCATTGCTTGCTAGCTACATTTATTTCTGATGAGAAATCAGTCGTTAATTTTATTAAGAATCCCCTGTACGTCACAAGTTGCTGCTTTCAGAACATTTTCTTTCTCTTTGGATTTTGACAATGTTATTATTATGTGTCTCAGTGTGGGTCTGTTTAAGTTTAACCTGCTTGGAGTTCACCAATATCCCCAAACATGTATATTTAGGACTTTTCTAAGATTTGGAAAGTTCTCAATCATTATTTCTTTATTTTATTTTTATTTTTTAATCCTCACCCGAGGACATTTTTCCATTTTTTGTTCAGGTAGAGTGGGAGGGAGAGAGAGGAACAGAGAGAGAGAGAGAAAAATCGATGTGAAAGGAACACATCGAGTGGCTGCCACCCACACAACCGACCAGGGCCGGGGACAAACTGCAACCGAGGTACGTGCCCTTAGCGGGAACCGAACCCGGGTCTCTCAGGACCGCAGGCCGACGCTCTAACCGCTGAACCAAACCAGCCGGGGCCTCAATCATTATTTCTTACAATTGTTTTGCCCCTTTGTGGTCCCACAAGTTCCTCAAGTTCTGATTATTTCTGTCATTCTTTTTTATTTCTGATTCTCAGACTAAGTAATTTCAGTTGTTTTATCTTCAGGTTCATTGATCCTTTTACCCACTGGCTCAAATCTGCTGTGGACCCTTCAGTGAGATTCTTCATCTCAGTCGTTGGACTTCTCCATTCTGGAATTCCTGTTTGTTTCCATTTTTAATAGACTGTTTAAAAGAGTAGTTTGGGGTTCACAGGAAAAATGAATGAAAAGTACAAACATTCCCATATACCTCTTACCCCTCTCCCCCCCTCCGCCCCCTGCCACGTGCACAGCTTCCGTCACTATAACGTCCTACACCTCCTGATACATTGTTAAAAGTGATGGACCTACATTAATACATCATTACTATCCACAGTCCATTGTTTACACTGGGGTTCACACTTGGTGCTGTCCATTGTATGGGATTTGACAAATGTATAATGGTATGTATCCACCATGATATATCATACAGAATAGTTTCCCTGCCCTGTGAAATCTCTGTGCTCTGCCTTTTCACCTCTCCCTCCTCTCAACCCTGACCACCACCGATTTTTCTACTGCTTTCATAGATTTGCTGTTTCCAGAATGTCACATATTTGGAATCGTACAGTAGCTTTTTCAGCTTGGCTTCTTTCTGTTAGTTGTATGCATTTAAGGCTCCCCCGTGCCTTTTCATGACTCGGTAACTCATGTCCTTTTAGTGCTGAATAAATTCCATTGTTTGAATGTACTACAGTGTATTTACCCACTCACCTACTGAAAGAAATATTGGTGGCTTACAAGTTTTGTTTTCCTTTATGTAACTTTTCTCTATAAATTCATATTCTCATTTTTTTTGTACATTATTTTTCTGATTTCCTTTAGTTCTTTGTCCATGGTTTCCAACTGTCTTTAACATATTAAAAACAGTGGATTTAATTTCCAATGTCTCAGTTTCCTCAGGGATGGTTTTTGTCAAATTCTTTTTCTATGAATGTGCCATGTTTTCCTGTTTCTTTGCACAGTTTGTAAGTTTGTTGGGAACTAAACATTTTGAGTCTTATGTTGTGATAACTCTGGAAATCTAGTTCTCCCTCTCCTCAGGGATTACTGGCTGTTGTTTGTGGAGGGCTGGAGCCCATTTGTGACTTTTCCAAACGATTTTTGCAAAGCATATATTTCTTTTCTTCTCATTCTCAAGAAGGCTTCAGAATCTGATCTTAATCTCTGGTGCTCTAAAATTTCTGATGATGGGTCTTGGTTTGTGAGAATTTATTATGCCAGATTGTTTCTTTGAATTTTTTTTTTTTTATCCTCATCCGAGGACATTTTTCCTTTTTTTTTTTTTTTTTTTTGTTCAGGTAGAGTGGGAGGGAGAGGGAGGAACAGAGAGAGAGAGAGAAACATCGATGTGAAAGGGACACATCGAGTGGCTGCCACCCGCACAACCGACCAGGGCCGGGGACAAACTGCAACCGAGGTACATGCCCTTAGCGGGAACCGAACCCGGGTCTCTCCGGACTGCAGGCCGACGCTCTAACCGCTGAGCCAAACCGGCCAGGGCCAGATTGTTTCTTTGAATCTGGAAGCAAATGTCCTTTAAGTCTGTTTTCTCAGAATTCCCATTAGCCAACCTTTGGACCTCTTGAAATGATTCCATAATTTTAAAAAAATCTTTTTTCTCCCTATTCTGTGGGAAATTTCTTCAACTACATTTTATAATCCTTCCATTGATGTTTATTCTGAGCATTATATTTTAAATTTTCTAGTAATTCTTATTTGTTCTATGCATGTTCTTCCTTTAAAATAGTACACCCTTCTTTTTTTATTTTATTTTATTTTTTTATCCTCACCTGAGAACACTTTTTCCTTTTTTTTTTTTTGTTCAGATAGAGTGGGAGAAAGAGAAAGGAAGAGAGAGAGAGAGAGAGAGAGAGAGAGAGAGAGAGAGAGAGAGAGAAACATGAAAGGGACACATCGAGTGGCCGCCACCCGCACAACCCAACCAGGGCTGGGGACAAACTGCAAATGAGATACGTGCCCTTAGCGGGAACCAAGCCCGGGTCTCTCTGGACTACAGGCCGACGCTCTAACCACTGAGCTAAACCGGCCAGGGCAGATCTTAACCTGAAGTCACTCAGCCCAGCCCATCTGCTCTCCATCTTCCAAAATGTTGCTGATATCTGTCCCCTGCTGTAGTAACTTCATCTGTTCTCTTGTCTTTGAGTACACATACTTTTTTCCGGTTCTCTTAGGAGGGTTTCAAGAGGGAAGGAAGATGTTAAAGTTGCCATGTTAAACAGAGATCCACTGGTCTTTCCTCAGCTTACTTTCTTTAAAAAAATAAACAGTACATTGTGGGGTGTTTAAACGGGGGAGTTCTAGAAAAAGCAAACGTCATGCAATAAGACAGAATATTATGGAACAGGTGATGCGTTAATCCAATGGGAGATTCACAATACAAGCCTCCTGCTGACAGACCATCAGTAGGAAGAGTGTCTGATATCTCGTGGAGACAGTGTAACCAGACATAAATGTGGAAGAAGGGGCAACATTAACAGCCCACAGTGATACAAATCAGAATAGAAGTCACCCCTGGGAGGGGCCCAATGGAGCCTTTACGGTGCAAGAAGTGTCCTATACCTTGATGTCAGTGGTAGTGACACAGATGTACAGTAGCCCCACTTTATCTGCAGTGTTGTTTCTTGCAGTTTCAACTACCCCCAGTAAGCTGTGCTCCAAAAATAGTCAATGGAAAATTCCAGAAATAAATCATTTATACGTTTTAAACTGTGCATCGTTTTGAGTAGTGTGATGACATGATTCACCCTGTTGTCCAGGGTCTCCATGCTGTACAGGCTCCCAGCCCAGTGGTCACCTTGGTTATCAGTGTCCCGTCACCACCTCGGTTGTCAGTGTCCCGTCACCACCTCGGTTGTCAGTGTCCCGTCACCACCTCGGGTGTCAGTGTACCTGTCACCCCCTCGGGTGTCAGTGTACCCGTCACCCCCTTGGTTGTCAGTGTCCCGTCACCCCCTCGGTTGTCAGTGTACCTGTCACCCCCTTGGTTGTCAGTGTCCCGTCACCCCCTCGGTTGTCAGTGTACCTGTCACCCCTCGGTTGTCAGTGTACCCCGTCACCCCCTCGGTTGTCAGTGTCCCCCTCGGGTGTCAGTGTCCCCGTCACCCCCTCGGGTGTCAGTGTCCCCGTCACCCCCTCGGGTGTCAGTGTCCCCGTCACCCCCTCGGGTGTCAGTGTCCCCGTCACCCCCTCGGGTGTCAGTGTACCTGTCACCACCTCGGTTGTCAGTGTCCCGTCACCACCTCGATTGTCAGTGTCCCGTCACCACCTCGGTTGTCAGTGTACCTGTCACCACCTTGGTTGTCAGTGTGCCCCCATCACCCCCTCGGGTGTCAGTGTACCTGTCACCCCCTCGGGTGTCAGTGTACCTGTCACCCCCTCGGGTGTCAGTGTCCCCGTCACCACCTTGGTTATCGGTGTATGGTCACCCCCTCAGTTGTCAGTGTCCCCATCACCACCTCGGTCATCAGAGCAACTGCCACCGTATTTCAGTGCTTGCATTCAAGCCACCCTTAATTTACTAAATAATGGCCCCAAAGCACCACAGTTGTGACACTGGCAATTCAGACATGCCAAAGAGAGGCTATAAGGTGCTGCCTGTAAGTGAAAAGATGAATTCAGTAGATAAAATATTGTGAGAGAGACCACATTCACATAATTTTATTACAGTGTATTGTTAGAGTCATTCTAGTTTATAATTAGTTACTGTTGTTAATTTTTTACTGGGCCTACTTTATAAATTAAACACATATCATAGGTGTGTATGTGTAGGAAAAAACAATATATATAGGGTTTGGTATTCTCTGCAGTTCAAGCATCCACTGAGGGTCTTGGAATGTATCCCTACAGAAAAGGGGGGCATTGTATACACAAGGAAAAATTTACAAAGCTGTACACTTAAAACTTTTGTATGTGGCAGACATTGTGTGTGTCTCACAACTCAGTAAAAGAGAAAAGGGAGGGAAATTGTCATTTATTGACCACTGGCTGTATGCTAGGCACTAACTAGGTTTGCTTTTCTTTTATTTATTCAGTTAATAAGAACCTACTGTGTCCTAGGCTCTGTCTAGGTTCTCAGGACCCAGCAGTAAACAAAAATGTTAGACAGAGCCCCTGCCTACATGATGCCCCTGCATAGTTAATGGGGGACACAATGTCAAATCATCACAATCATGGTACAGCATGTGCAAAGATCCTGTGGTAGGCAGAGGCATGACACATAAGGAGGGCAGATGCCCTGGCCGGTGTGGCTCAGTTGGCTGGAGCATTGTCCCATACACCAAAAGGTTGCAAGTTTGATTCCCGATCAGGTCACATACCTAGGCTGTGGGTTCGAGCTCTGGTTGGGGCATGTGTGGGAGGTAACCAATCAATGTTTCTCTCTCACATCGATGTTTCTTTCTCTCTCTCTTAAAAAAAAATTAAAGAGGGCAGAGAACAGCATTGAGCAGGCACAGCTGATGCGCGGCCTGAAGCAGGCATTTTCACAGATCGGGAAATGGGCTCAGGGTGGTGAGGTAGCTGCCCTGGGTTCCCCAGTAACAGCAGCCGCAGTTGCAAGCCAGTTTGTCTGCTCCCCCTTCTGCTTACTGAGACAGAGCCTGGTTTCCAACCTCCAGTGGGGTGCTCTCATACTCTCTGCCTCTCAGTTCCACAGGCCTGCAGTGGGGGTGACCATGGAGTTGTGCCCCGAAGAGAAATACTGGGACTCCCTGTTGAATGTCTGCCTCTCCTGCAGATCCATCTGCAGCCATCAGATTCCACGCACCTGTACGGCCTTCTGCAGTGAGTTCTGGGGCCTGAGCCAGGGGGTAGCTGGATCACCCCTCACCTCGCAGCGGCCCTTCTGGCCCCACTGCACTTGGGTGCCTGAGGAGGGGTTGGTGGAAGATGTCCAGTGTGGCATCCCTTACTCTTCCATCCTTCTGCTCTGGCCACGCTAGCCCTTTGCATTTTCTTGAACATGCACAGGTTGCCCCTTCTGCATGGAAAGCATCTCCTCATTCTTCTTCCCGTGACTCCCTCCTACCCAACCTCAAGTCTCAGCGCAAATGTCAGAGCTGTTCCCTGACTGCCCAACAGAAATCAGAGTCCCTTTTCCTTCTCTGCGCCCCCTTTCTTTGTAAACGTTTTATTAAGAAATGATCTAACATAGAGAGGATAACGTAACAAACCCTTGTTTACCCAACACTGGCTTTAAAAATTCTGCTGTTTTAGTCCCCAACCAATATTTAAAACAAATCCAAGAACTCATATTACTTACCTGTAAATACTAGATCATGAATCCCTAACATATAGAGCCTTTAAAATGTAACCTCAATAGCTCATCACCCCCAGCAATAATCTCTTAACATCGTCTTTACTCAGGCCACATTCAGTTTTCTCTGGTTGTCTTGAAAAATATATTTTGCTTGCTGTTCTTTTTTTATAACTTGTGCTTTTCCTTAATGGAACTTATCGCAATTAGTGTCATGTTCTTTCATGTGTATTTGCTTCAGGTCTGTTCGAACCACCAGACAGTGCCTGACACATAGCATGTGCTTCATAAATACTTGTTGAGTGGAGCTCAGAGAAACTTAGTGACTTGCCCAAGATCACACAGCATAACAGTGGAAAAGTTAGGATTTGGCCAGAAGTCTCTGACTCCAAAGGCATGACTGTGAGCCACTCTCCATTAATTACATAGAACATTCAGTATGTCATTCTGCAAGTGTTCAGGGAACTCTCTAGCCCCTTTAAAATAGGAATTTTACATGACCCAATATCAGAAGGTTATCATCTAATAGGAGAGATGACCTTTTAAGATATAAAGGTAGCCCTGGCCGGTTTGGCTCAGCGGTTAAAGCATCGGCCTGTGGTCCTGAGAGACCCGGGTTTGGTTCCCGCTAAGGGCGTGTACCTCGGTTGCAGTTTGTCCCCGGCTCTGGTCAGTCGTGCGGGTGGCAGCCACTCGATGTGTCCCTTTCACATTGATGTTTCTCTCTCTCTCTCTCTGGTCCTCTCTCTCCCTCCCACTCTACCTGAACAAAAAACGGAAAAATGTCCTCGGGTGAGGATTTAAAACAAACAAACAAACAAACAAACAAACAAACAAAAAAAACCCAAAGATATAAAGGTAAAGCACCATACAACGCCACAGTTGAGAGAAGCCAGCTTCAGCTGAGGCGCTGGGGAGCAGGAAAGTGTTCTTGGAGGAGCGCCCCTGAAATGGATTGTTAAGAGTTTGTAGATGTGAAAGTCAGACGAGGGGGATGGCACTCCTGGCCAACGCACACGTGTGGGCGAAGGCGTGGACAGGGGACAACGCAAGAGGGAAGATCAGGCACAGAGGAAGGCTTGGCGAGGGCAGGGAGTGAGGGTTGGTGGTTTGAGGAGCTCAGGCGCACCTGTGTCCGCCACACTGGGGTCCCTGAGGATGGGAGGAGGGCTCAGAAAACGTCAGGAATACCAGTGCCATCAGGGCAACTGCGTCTCGTGAGTGGCAGTGTTAGTGGTCCTGTGTGCTGTGTGGCTCAGTGGAACCTTGGGGTCGGGGCAGGGCCAGGGCGAGGGAGGTCACTGGTACAACAGGGCCATTTGAATCTTCTCTGAGATCCCAATTTCACCATCTTCATGGCTTTTTTCTTTACTCTGTTAAGGGCATAAAGGTTGGGGTTACAAGGAGGTACAGATGAATATTCTACATAGACCTTCCATTTACATTCCATGTGTCAGGTATCGAGCTAGGAACTTCAAATCCTCATAACAGCCTTAAAAAGTCAATATTGTTATTACTCCTCTCTCAGAAATGAGGAAACTGAGGCACATATTGGTTAAGGCCCCACAATCTGCAATTAGTAGAACTACTTGGTTTTGAGGTCTGTGGTGTTAACCACTGCCTTGTGCTTCCTCTGAAATGTGCCCTTAGAATCCCCTGAGGCGCCTTTTTATATAAATATTATCTTATTTTAAAGGCGATGGAAAGCCGCCCTGTGAAAGTGCAGGTTTCTGTTATGCACTAAAGTTGCTTTCTTCATGCAGGTGTGATTAGGCTTATTTTGCTTGGCTTCTTCTGCTTCTTGGAATTGATACCTATTTAAACTCCTGTAAGTCTCATTTATTATTAAGGCCAAAGAAACATTAATATTTTGAGTGTTCCTACCATCCTTCCTGTCTCCCCTCCCAACTTGCCAAAGACAGATGCTGGCTTCCCTCTCTAATCCTATGTTGACATGAAATATGTTTCTTCTTTATTTTTTTTATTTTTTTTTATTTTTTAATCCTCACCCAAGGACATTTTTCCATTTTTTGTTCAGATAGAGCGGGAGGGAGAGAGAGGAAGAGAGAGAGAGAGAAACATCGATGTGAAGGGACACATCGAGTGGCTGCCACCCGCACCACAAACCAGGGCCGGGGACAAACTGCAACCGAGGTACGTGCCCTTAGCGGGAACCGAACCCGGGCCTCTCTGGACCGCAGGCCGACGCTCCAACCGCTGAGCCAAACCGGCCAGGGCAATATGTTTCTTCTTTATGAGGTTTGAAAAAAACGCAAGTAAAGAACTTTAGTGACAATGTAATCACCTACATATCAATTTTTAAAGATAACTGAAAAATCCTTATATGTATAGAAACTGAAGGATACATAATGAAAAAAATAATAATGAAAAGTAAAAACATTTAAAGCTAGATATAAAAAATACTACAGCCCTGGCTGGTTTGGCTCAGCGGTTAGAGCGTCGGCCTGCGGTCCTGAGAGACCCGGGTTCGGTTCCCGCTAAGGGCACGTACCTCGGTTGCAGTTTGTCCCCGGCCCTGGTCGGTTGTGCGGGTGGCAACCACTCGATGTGTCCCTTCACATCGATGTTTCTCTCTCTCTCTGATCCTCTCTCTCCCTCCCACTCTACCTGAACAAAAAATGGAAAAACATCCTCGGGTGAGGATTAAAAAAATATATATATATATAAAAAATACTACATATCAAAATTTGTGTGATGTGGCTAAAACAGTACTTAGAGGACAATGTATAGCTACACATTTGTATATTGAAAAAGAACTTGGATTATCATGGAATAGCTTTTGGGGAAATTAGACTGTAATTTTTAAAAAAATTTATGCCCTTTGAGGTCAGACCTACAGTTCCTACAGGTCTCTGTCACCTAGTAACATCAATCTCTGTCTCCCAGAGTCACTCAGTTGCCGCAAGGAGCAAGGCAGATACTATGACCAGCTCCTGAGGGACTGCATCAGCTGTGCCCCCATCTGTGGACATCACCCCAAGCAATGCACATACTTCTGTGAGAACAATTTCAGGAGCCAAGTGAGCCTTCAATCAGAGCTCAGGAGACAGAAGACTGGGAAGGCTGAAACCCGATCAGACAACTTGGGAAGGTACAAGGGAACAGAGCACAGAGGCTTGGAGGCAGGTCCAGGTAAGCCACCTGCACGGTTTCTGAGTGAGTGGAAGGCCAGGCACCAGGACTAAATAAGGAGGGTCTTCAAAGTGGGAAGTCAAGAGGCCAGACAAATGAATGGAGATCTCCGCAGATCTCCATTGATGAAAAAGAGAAAATTCAGGAAGTATCCAGAAGTCTGCAGGCAAGAAGAAAGCAGGAGATGAGAAGACCTGATCATTGAAAGTCTTTTCCTAAATTAAAAAAAAAAAAAAAATTCAATTAGAGTTGGCATACAATATTATATTAGTTTCAGGTGTATAATGTAGTGATTAAACATTGATATAACTTATGAAGTGTTCCCTCCACTAAGTCTAGTAGCCACATGACACCATACCTAGTTATTACAATATTACTGACTCTGTTTCCTATGCTGTATTTTACATCCCCAGGAGTGTTTTTATAACTGGAAATTAGTACTGCTTAGCCCCTTCACCTTTTTCACCCAGACCTGGCAACTATCAATATATTCTCTATCTATGAATTTGTTTCTGTTTTGTTTATTGTTTCATTTTGTTATTTAGATTCCACACGTAAGTGCAATTGTATAGTGTGGGTCTTTGTCTGACTTATTTCACTGAGCATAATACCATCTGGGTCCATCTATAATGTTGCAATGGCAAGGTTTTGTTCTTTTATGGCTTAGTGATTTTCCATTTTATATAGGTATCACATCTTCTTTATCCACTCATCCACTGATGTAAACCTGGCTTGTTTTCATATCTTGGCTATTATAAATAATGCTACATTGAACACAGGCATGCATATATGTTTTTGAATTGGTATTTTGGATTTCTTCAGATAAATACCAGAAGTGGAATTGCAGGGTCATATGGTACTTCTATTTTTAATTTTTTGAGTACACTCCCTGCTGTTTTCCACAGTGGCTGCACCTGTCTACATTCCCACCAACAGTGTACTAGAGTCCCCTTGTGTCTACATCCTTACCAATACTTGTGTGTAGATTTATTGGTGATAACATTTCTGAGAGGTGTGATGTCATATCTCACTGTGGTTTTAATTTGCATTTCCCTGATAATTAGTAATGTTGAGCATTTCATGTATCTATTGGCCATCTGTATATCTTCTTTGGAGACATGTCTATTCAGGACCTCTGCCCAATTTTTATTTTATTTTATTTATTTATTTATTTATTTATTTATTTATTTATTTATTTATTTATTTTTGTTACAGACGTTTCTCTTTTTTCCCCTGCAGACACCCTCCTCCCAATCCTGCCCCCCGCCCCCAAGCATTGTTGTCTATGTCCATTGGTTACCCATACATGCATACAAGTTTTTTGGTTTATCTCATCCCTCCCTCTGGCCCCTCTCCCCTGAGGTTTGTCAGTCTGAACCGTACTCCTTTCTATGTCTCTAGGTCTGTTTACATCAGCTTTTTTTTTTTGTTCATTATATTCCACAAATAAGTGAGATCATATGGTATTTGTCTTTCTCTGACTGGCTTATTTCACTTAGTATAACACTCTCCAGGTCCCTCCATGTCATCTCAAATGATACGAGATCTCTCTTTCTTACAGCTGCATAGTACTCCATTGTCGCCCTGGCCGGTTTGGCTCAGCGGTTAGAGCGTCGGCCTGCGGTCCGGAGTACTCCATTGTGTATATGTACCAAAGCTTTTTTATCCACTCATCTACTGATGGACACTTGGGCTGTTTCCAGATCTTAGCAATTGTAAACAGTGCTGCTATGAACATAAGGGCACATATATTCTTTCTGATTGGTGTTTCAGGCTTTGTCTACTTAGGTCCTCTGCCCAACTTTTAAAAATTAAATTACGTGTGTGTGTTAGGTTGTATGAGTTTCTTATATATTTTGGATATTTACTCCTTGTACTCCTTGTAAATTGTACAAGGAGTAAATATCCAAAATATTTGTATCATTGGTGAATATCTTTTTCCATTCAGTAGATTGTCTTTTCATTTTGTTGAAGGTTCCTTCACTGTGCAAAACTTTTTGGTTTGATGCTGTCCCATTTGTTTATTTTTGCTTTTGTTTCCCTTGCTCAAAAATACATATCCATAGCCCTGGCCGGTTTGGCTCAGCGGTTAGAGCGTCCGCCTGCGGTCCAGAGAGACCCGGGTTCGGTTCCTGCTAAGGGCATGTACCTCGGTTGCAGTTTGTCCCCGGCCCTGGTTTGTCGTGCGGGTGGCAGCCGCTCGATGTGTCCCTTTCACATCGATGTTTCCCTCTCTCTCTCTTTCTCTCTCTCCCTCCCGCTCTGTCTGTACAAAAAATGGAAAAATGTCCTCGAATGAGGATAAATAATAATAATAATAAAAAAAAATACATATCCATAAAAACATTACTAAGAGTAATGTCAAAGAGTATACTGACCATGTTTTCTTCTAGGAGTTTTATGATTTGAGGTCTTACTTTTAAATCTTTAATCCATGTTGAGTTTATTTTTTTATATGGTGTAAGAAAGTGTTTTCATTTCATTCTTTTGTGTATATCTCTCAAGGTTTCTCAAAACCTCTTATTGAAGAGACTTTCAGTACCCCATTGTGTATTCTTTCCTCCTTTGTCATAGTTTAATTGACAATATAGGTGTGGGTTTATATCTGGGCCCTCTATTCTGTTCCATTGATCTATGCGTTTATTTTTTATGGTAGTACCATGCTGTTTTGATTACTACAGCCTTGTAGTATAGTTTGATATCGGGTAGCATAAGACCTCAAACTTAGTTCTTCTTTCTCAATAGTGGTTTGGATATTCAGGGTCTTTTGTAGTTTTATATACATTTTAGGATTATTTATTCTAGTTCTGTGAAAAATACAATTGGTACTTTGATAGGGATTGCACTGAATCTATAGATTGTTTTGGGTAGTATGGACATTTCAATATATTAATTCTTCAATGTCTGATAGTTTTCTGAGTACAGGCCTTTTACTATATTGATTACATTTATTTCTAGGAATTTTGTTCTTTATAATGCAATTGTAAATGGAATTTTTTCTTAATTTCTCTTTCTGATAGTTTGTTATTGGTGCATACAAATACAACTGGTTCCTGAATATTAATTTTGTATTCTGCTACTTTACTGAACTCGTTTATCAGTTCTAATAGTTTTTTAGTGGAATCTTTAGGGTTCTTTCTATATAGATAGTATCATGTCATCTGCAAATAATGACAGTTTTACTTCTTCCTTCCTAAATCAAATGCCTTTCATTTTTTTTTCTTATTTGATTGCTGTGGCTAGACGATCCAATATTATATTAAATAAAAACGGAGAAAGTGGACAACCTTGTCTTGTTCTTATGTTAAAGAAAAAGCTACAGCTTTTCACCTTTGAGTATGATGGTAGCTGCAGGTTTGTCGTTTATGGCCTTTATTATGTTAAGGTGTGTTTCCTCTATTCCCACCTGGCTGGCAGGTTTTTTTTGTTTTGTTTTGTTTTTTATCCTCACCTGAGGACATTTTTCTGTATTTTGTTCAGATAGAGTGGGAAGGAGAGAGAGAGAAACATCGACGTGAAAGGGACACGTCGAGTGGTTGCCACCCACAGGACCCAACCAGGGCCAGGGACAAACTGCAACCGAGGTACATGCCCTTAGTGGGAACTGAACCCGGGTCTCTCTGGACCAAAGGCTGACACTCTAACCACTGAGCCAAACTGGCCAGGGCTGTTTTTTGTTTTTAATCATAAATTAATGTTGGAATTTGTCAAATACTTTTTCTGGATCTATTGATATGATTTTTATTCTTCATTTTGTTTGGTGTATCATGTTAACTGATTCCTAAATATTAATTTTTTCTCTTAAACTGTCCTAATTTTTTAAAAAATCATTTTGCTGTTCTGAGTGGGCGTTTTCTGTTACCTTGTCTTCCAAATCACTGTTTGATCCTGTACATCATCTAATCTGCTATTGATTCCATCTAATGTATTCTTCATTTCAGTTATTGTATTCTTCACTTCTGGCTGGTTCTATCTTATGGTTGCTATTTCCTTTTTATTTATTATTTCTTTGTGGAAGTTCTCAATGAGTTAATCTATTCTTCCCCTAAGTTCATTGAGCATCGTTATAATCAGTGTTTGATCTCTGTATCTGGTAGATTGCTTGACTCCATTTTGTTTAGATTTTTCTTTTAGATTTCTCCTTTTCTTTCATTTGGGACATGTGTCTTTGTCTCCTCGTTCTGGCCACCTCAGTGTGTTTGTTTCTACATGTTAGGCAGAGCTGCTATATCTCCCAGTCTTGTCAGGGTGACCTTATGTAGTAGGTGTCCCATGGGGCCCAGTGGCATCTCCCTGGTCACCTAAACCAGGTGCTCCAGAGGTGATCCCAGTGTGGGTTCTGTGTGTCCCCTGTTGTAGTTGAGCCGTGATTGCTGTTGGCATATCATTGGGTGGAACTGCCCCTCAGCTAATAGACAGTGAGGACTAGCCATGACTAGAGCAGATGAGCTGTTGTGTGGGAGCTTGCCCCACAGAGTGAAATTTGCTTTAAAGGGCTCTGTTGACAGACAAGTCCCCCCTTCAGGTGTGTCATTTATGGAGCTGGTTAGGTGGGGCTCTGGTGAGGTCTGAAGCCAGCCACTGGGTGTGTTGGTTCTGGAGCCTCTTAGAAGGGGCTTCAGTGCAGGCCACGGTCAGCTGCTTATTGTGCCTGGCTTGGGGCTTCCTGGTGGGATCTACAAAGTAGTCTGGTTGGTCGCCTCTTGCGCTGGGCTTGGAGGAACTTGAGAAAGGCTATACTGTGAACTGAGGCTGGCACCCTCTGGTGGTCACGACAGTGTGAATTGAGGCCAGCTGCCAATTGTGCCAGGATGGTGGACACTAAATTGAAGCTATGTTCCAGGCCAAGATTGGCTACCACGTATGCCAGGCTTGGGCCCATCTGATGGCAGTTACATTGCAAGTTGAGACTGGTTGCTGCTTGTGCTGGCCTGGAAACCACTTAGCAAGAGGTAAAAGGCACAATGAGCCAGCTGCTGCTTGTTTGAGGTTTGTGTACC